GTGCATCCATATCGTGCAATGCCTTCAGAGGTGAGTAGAGGGCATTGGCTCCCCTGGAATTGGAGTTACTGACAGTTGTTAGCCTCCATGTGGGTGCTGGGAATTGAACCTGGGTCCTCTGGAAGAACAGCAAGTCTTCTTAACTTCTGAGTCATCTCTCCAGACCCTTAACCATATAGACAAAAAAAATTATATATCTATATCTATATATATATATATATCTATCTATAGATATATAGATATAAAACCTTTAAATTTTCAGCTATTTCACAAATATAGGGGCTATAACTATCTACTAGTTATTTGTCTCTAGTGGTCTAGAGATACTAATCCTTGGTGAAGCTGTGGACAATGTTAATACTGTTGAGAGAGGGCAAGGCCCCTTTGAAAAGTTTGGAGCCAGGTGTGGTAGTACACACGTGATCTCGGCACTTAGGAGGTGGAGGCAGGAGAATAAGTTGAAGGCCAGTCTCAGGTACGTAATGAGTTCAAAACCAACAGGCTGCAGGAGACCTTGTCTCAAAAGGAAAGACCAGAAGCCAAGCGTGGTAGTGCATGACTTTAATCCTAGCACTCAGGAGGCAGAGGCAAGCAGATCTCTGTGAGATCAAGGCTAGCAACCTGATTTGCAAAACAAGTTCCAGGCCAGCTGGGCTACAGGGAGACTCAAAAAAAAAACCAAAAGAAAAAAAGCAGGGTGTGGTGGCACATGCCTTTAGTCCCAGTGCTTGGGAGGCAGAGGTAGGCCGATCTTTGTGAGTTTGAAGCCAGCCTGGTCTACACAGCGAGTGCCAGGCCAGCTGGGCCTACAGAGAGACCCTGTCTCCAAAAGACAGAAAAAAAGGAAAGAACCAGTTTGTCAAGCAAACATAATTTATGCATTTCTAAATATTTACTTTACAAAAAAGCATTTGAGCCAAGTGTAGTACCCCAGGAGTTCATAGGGAGACCCTGTCAAAGGGAGGGAGAGTGAAAGGGAGAGCAGGCATACATTATGCCTCAGGACACTTGTGTTAAGAATGCTCATAATTGCCATATCCATAATTGCTAAAAGCCGGAAAGAGCCCAAATATCTACTACCAGCAGGATCCATTATGGTACAGTCATGTAATAGAATGTTATACTGCAATGGAAAGGAAATGAAGGAGCCACAGCTCTACCCAGCCAAACAGTGTATCTTGCAAACACAGTGTTCAGAGACAGAAAAAAAAAAAAAAATGCATGTAGTATGAGTTTATTGATGCTATGCTCACAACAGGCAGAATTTACCTATACTGCTGGTGATACAGAAACAGAAGTAGCACTATAGAGAAATGCTGAGAGTCAGATAATGGTTCCTCCTGAGGGAAATGTTGGGGCCATTGAGTCCAGACACATGGAGGCTTCTATAGGGCCTGTTTCTGGACTTGAGGGGTAGTTACTCAGGAGTGTACTTTATAATAGCTTGCTAAAAATGTATAGACAAGCCAGGCTTTAATCCCAGCATTTGGGAAGCAGAGACAGATGAATCTCTGTGATATCTAGTCTAGCCTGGTCTACATGGTGAGTTCTAGGCCAGCTGGGGTTACAGGGAGACCCTGTCTCAAAACAACAACAACAAAAAATGTATATACAGGGATCTGGAGAGATGGCTCATTAGTTAAGAGCACTTGCTATGCAATTATGAGGACGAGAGTTCGGATTCCAGCACCCACATAACAAGCCAGGCATCCACCCCAGTTTCAGTGGGAAAGGCAGAGGCAGGATTGCTGGGACTTGCTGGCTTCCAGCCTAGCTGAGAAAATTCAAGCCCCAGGTTCAGGGAGAAACCTCATCTCAAAGGAGTAGGTGGAGAGTGATAGAGAACACTCTCTCTTCTGGCCTTGCATGCCCATAGGCATATATATTCAATGCTATATATGCACACACACAAATACATAAATATATGAACACATAAATAAATAAATAAATAAATAAATAAAAAGATGGCTCAGCAGTTAGACAGGGTCTCCTTGTAGCCCCAGCTGGCCTGGAACTCACTATATAGAACATGCTGGCCTAAATCTTACAGAGATCCGCCTGCCTCAGCTTCCAGAGTGCTGGGACTAAAGGGGTGAGCCACTATGCCCTGTTTTTCTTTCATTTTTTGGTATTTATTTATCCATGTGCGTGTGTGTGTGTGTGTGTGTGTGTGTGTGTGTGTGTGTGTGTGCATGTGTGTGTATTTGCACACTGTATGCCAGGGCAACTTTTCTAGAACATGGAAGTAAATAAGTGTTCTCTTTCAGGCAAAGTATTTGATATTGAAGGTCCACATTTATTTATTTATTTATTTTTAATTTTATTTTGGTCTTTTTGAGATGGGGGTCTCCCTGTAGCCCCAGTTGGCAGGAACTTGCTATGTAGACCAGGCTGGCCTTGAACTCACAGAGATCCACCTGCCTCTCCCTCCCAAGTGCTGGGATTAAAGGTATGCACCACCACACCTGGTGAAAGTACAAATTTATATTTGTTTATTAAAATTTTATTTGTTTTTTGAGACAGGGTCTCATGGAGCTCAAGTTGGCCTCAAACTCTCTATGTAGCTGAGGCTATCCTTGGACTCCTATTCCTCCTGCCTCGACATCCTAAGTGTTGGAATTATAGACATGCATCTTCATGCCTGGCTGTTGTTTATTGCTTTTCTGTTAGAATTTTTATTATGATTACTTTGATTGATTTAGTAAATATTGCATGCAAGCATGGTGCTTAGGGAATTTCTAAAGGGAGAAATTCCGTGTAGGAGGGGAAGAGGCAACATTAAGGCTAGGCCTTGGAGCAGAAAGCTTTGTCAGGGGTCAGGAAGGCCAAGACAAGCCTGCCTAGCACTTACTGCTAGGGCCAACAGGGGACCAGATGTGAG